TTTTTTTTTTTTTTTGACGAAAATGTGATTATAACGTTGAAGTTTTAACAATATCTACGAGAAATCCTTTTGAAGAGAGAGAGAGAGAGAGAGAGAGAGAGAGAAAGAGAGGAGGAGGAAAAGAGAATCGATCAGTTTTAAATTGTGCAAGTTCCACGACGACGTAGAAGCCACCAAATGCGTTATTCGAAGAAACACTAACGATTGCAACTTGCGAAACGTGTTTTTCATTTCATTCAGTTAATCTATCGTCGTATCTTCCGTCAAACCCTCTACAAAATTCTAGTCCGCAATGACCTACATACTACTTGATCGATTAATTTCACTTTGACCTCGTTCTTTTTGCAAATTACGAGGTTGGTTATAAATTATAATACGATAAATGATAAAGCAAACGTGGGAAACGCAATAATAGAAGATCTAAATTATCGAGTTGCAACGGAATATTAGAGAATTCATTATTAATTTTATGGAGATTGCAATTGGTACTTAAATACTTGGTAAGCAATATTAATCTTAACGAAACGTTTTATTATTATACTTGATGCTATTTATAAACGATTAAATTTACACAATTTACATGTGTATATATATGTACACATATGTACATATATACGTATAAATAAATAATAATTGCTATCGAATACGAATCTTCGTTGTATTTAATATATAACTTTATAGATTTTAATTGCGAATCTTAAATAAAGTAGTAACTAACATTGAATAAAATTTCAGTCACGACTAACCCCTTTCAGTACTGTGTCATCGTGTGACAATGCCGTACGCAGACAGAAAATATTCGTTTTGAACGGGAGCCGAATATTAATTTATCGAATAAGTTCATGCGTGGAATTCATACTGATATTCGGTGTCTTACAAAATTAAATTAACCTGAAGAAATTAAATTACCGAGATTGAATGGTATGCTAATTAAAAAGTATTATCTAAATGAAACATCGCGTGATTGCATTTTAAATAGCTCAGTATCAGTACTTGCACTCCATATAATTTAATATACGATGTTAAATATAAATTTAAAATTAAATATATGTAGAGCGTACAAAAATAATTTTATGCAAAGATTATATGATACGTATATCTCTCCTTATTCCATGATTACTGGATATATTAAAATATTATATGCTTAAATTTTAGTATAGAAATATCAATAGTGACTTTTATAGGTATACAGTGGCAGCCTGATGTCACTAGTCTAGTTAAATTGCTATAGTGTATGCCGTGGTGGGGCGGCGTCCATGTTACGCATGTTCTTCTCGTCCATTTCCTTTTGGAACTCGAAGGTGGGAGGTCGGTTTGTAACGCAGTTCTCGGTTTGCAATCGTTGCTTCATACTCGCGTAAATGTTTCAATTAATTACGACAAAACGAATTTACATATTCGATAAGATTGTTAAATCGCTTTTATTCCGCGATACGTTAAATTTTTGTCACAACGTAATTCGAGAAAATGGCTGAATCAATAAAGAGTGAGTACGCAAGCCACGTGGCGAAGCAACTTACCGAAGAAGAAATTGTAAAGATGCAGGCGCAAAATTCGCGATTAGTTTCCGAATTTCGAGCCAATCAGTTGGAAAAAGACGCGAAAAAACATTGGGACTTATTTTACAAACGAAACGATACAAGATTCTTTAAGGACAGACATTGGACTACCAGAGAATTTAACGAATTATTGGATTTGAGTACGAAAAATGAACAAAATGTTCTTTTTGAAGTCGGTTGCGGTGTTGGAAATTTTATATATCCCTTGATCGAGGATGGATTGAAATTTAAAATGATATTCGCGTGTGATCTCTCTTCTAGAGCCGTGGAACTAACAAAGGTATATATTTAGTTATTTATTATATATAATTATGCGTTATTTTGTGAATCATTTATATATATATAATTATATTCTTTACAGAATCATTCGTTGTACGATCCAGAGAACATGAAAATTTTTCAAACGGATATTACAACAGAAAATTGTTTTTTGGAGGTGGACTGTCCGGTCAACATTGCAACGTTAATATTCGTTTTATCGGCTATTCATCCGAAAAAGTTCAGAAAGTAAGTTGGGAAATCTTTTATATTTTTTTTAAAATAATTTTTTTAATAATAATTTGCAATTCACTATAAAATTTATGATATTTCAGAGTCGTGGAGAATTTATATAACGTTCTCGATAAAGGAGGAATCGTGCTTTTTAGAGATTATGGTTTATACGATATGGCTCAACTAAGATTTAAACCTGGTCACAAGATTAGTGAAAACCTTTATATGAGACAGGATGGTACCAGGTAAGATTTCTTTATTCCTTTTTATTGTAGTCAATATTACAATAGTAAAATTACACTAATATTTTATTTCAGGACATATTATTTTTCAGAGAAAGAAGTGTCAAACTTATTTCAATCGGTTGGCTTTGAAGTACTAACGTGTAACTACGTACAAAGACGAACTGTAAATTTCAAAGAAAAGATCGACGTACCTAGAATTTTTGTTCAAGGAAAATTTATAAAATTCTAGTAATAATGGTAAGTATTCATAAAAAAAAAAAAAAAGTAACACGGAAGCGATATTATAAGTCGTAAAATCGGTCAGGCGTTAGGAATTTGTGTTTTTAAGATAGAACATGTAACTTGAGACGTTTTAGAGGAGATAAGGAACTCTGAGCTCTCCTTTAAATTTATATACATACATACACACACATACATATATATATAATTATGACTATAGACTGAATATGTATATACGTATATTTTCTGCAGTGTATATTATGGCTTCATCAATCGATGTTATCGCTTAATGTTTTCGATCTCACTATAATTTTTTTGTTTTTGATACATATAATGATGAAAGCATAGTTCAATTGATTTTTAGTGAAGAATATAAAAATGTCTTTCGCTCCTATCTGATAAAATAATAATAATATATAATTGTGTTGAATACAAAAGGATTTTTCACATAAAAATATATGTACTTGATGTTTCAGAAAAAGTTTCATGGATCAGTGAATTGAAGTATTATTGCAGCTTTAATTAGTAAGTATTTTTCTTTTTTCTGGAAAAAAAATATAACATGTTCGTAAAATTTATTCGCTATTCAAATAAATATATTTTTAAAGGAGATAAAAATTAAATATCAGACATAAATTTTATCTCGAATTACGAAGTTTTAACGAAAATTACGATCCTGTTATATTTTATCCATTCATAAAATATAGGAAATTAAAAAGATAATTTGATTTAGAATAAGTTTATGATGAATTCATAGTTCAACCGAATTTTAATGAGGTATATTAAAAATGTCTTTCGCTCCTATCTGAATTTTTTTTTAATCTCAAATATATTATCTAAACATTATACTTTTATTTTATCTTTCCTTTTTTTTTTTTTTTTTCAGAAAGCTAAGCACTGGATTTAAAACTATAATAATAGTTAAAGGATGCTGGTACAAGTAAGCATTTTTTAATTTATGATTATTTGTGATTAAATTTACGTTTATTTTTTAAAAAAAATTTTCTCGTTATAAATTTTATTTTTGAGATATGCTATTAATTATTAGTCAATATTGAATTTTTAAAATCAATGATGTATTTCTGTAAATATGTTTGATTTTTCATGATATGTATACATAATGAATTTCGTCACTACCGCTGAGAAATAAAATAATATTTCAAAATTATGATATTATTTATATCAGTAAAAAATAATATTGTTACTTTTTTGCAGGAAGAACTGAATATTTTAAATACGAAAAACTAAATATAAATCTTCAATCATAGGTAAATAACTATTTCATTTTAAAAAATCAAACATTATTGATAAAAAAATATTTAAATTATTTTATTACAATGATGTAAAACATTTGCAATGATTCGATGATTACATTCCATTAGCTCTATCTGAAAGTTAAATTTCTTTTTCTATTCACAAAATAGAAAAAGATAACTGGTAAACAACGCATTTTTATATTCCAGGTTATAAAGAAGAATTTTACCATATGAAATGTGTAATATTTGCAAAATATATTTTATTAATATAGTATAATTTATAATAAATAAAATTTGTAATTTCTAATAAATAAAATTTAACACAATTTGATTACTACCTTCATTTTTACCCATTTTTATACTCCTTTTATATCAATAAAATAAAATCTCGTTGCATTAAAATTTAGAAAATATTATATCGTGTATAGATATCATGTTCCTAAGAAGGATTTGAAAGCGAAGCCGCAAACACGAATAAATTGCATTGAGATTATTAATTAGACAAGAACATACCATGTTCCAATTTGCTTTGTATCCAATGCGCAATAAATTTTAAATATACGATAAATCTAAGATAGATTACAATGTTTTTTACATTCTCTTCAATAATTATAAAAATATCGATACATATATTTAAGCAAACAAAAAATTAATATATGTTTATAAATTCATAAAATACGATTTTACTATGAAAAACATCGAATTAAATATACGAATAATTATTATCACTAATCTGATTGAATAAATTAATTTTGAATGTAGACAAAAATCATTTCGTTAAATATAACATTTGATCCAATTAAAAATGAAAAAAAAAATATACAGGATTCGATTTCCTTAAAAGATAAATAGTAAGAGGTGATGAAGGCCATTTCAATTTTTCTGACCACTATATCGATATTTTAAATTGTGGTCAACCGATAAAATATACGCATCGTTAAAACATTTTTTCATTCAATGGGAAAATATTAAATTTCATCGTTCGTCCATATTCAAACAGCACAATTAGAAAATTGACTTTGTAAGGACGCGATATTTTTTCCTGATATGGATTCTTATCGATTTTCACCAGATTTGAGTGTAAACAGATTAAAAAAAAAATACCAAATAAAAAACTATTTGTTGAGAATGTAAAAACGAATTCGGAATACGAATGGAATCGTATGTAATCACCAATTTACCAAAATCAGACGATACGCATGCATCGAATAAGATGTTAGGCAATGGTCAAAATTTCCCAAAAAATTTAAATTCAAATCGTCAGAACCATACCTATTTTAAATTCGATTAATTGTTTTCTGATCGAAGACAATCAATCATTTTATATCATCGCAAAAAATATTTTTTTTAACCTTATTCTTAAATCGAAATTTAGCTTTTTACTACAAAGATATAAACTCACTCCACAAACATTCCACTCCACAAACATACATACATATATACATATTCCTTGTAGAAACGATAAAAATTAGCAATTCCAATTAATTGGATCTATCACAATACGAGCAAAATCGTAACCAGAACATTCCTCGATACTCGCAAGGTCACGATGATTAAGCGCCATAAAATATTATTCAGTTGCTTTTTCTTTTATAACACAGGTGGTGCGGTTGGTTTTATTAACCGGATGTTCCAGAAAGATACTCTTTGAAAGATATTTTCTGTGAAATCGATAGATAAAAGCAACCGATATCTTCCTGATCCGGACACGTCTAATCGAGACATCTAATATTCTCAACGTTTACAGAAAAATCGTTCTTCGATCCATCGTTTTTCAAGAAAATAATGATATATATATATATTACGATCATTAAGGTTCAGAGAACTCGTTACAACGTCGTACGAGGTAAAACACTTTCGTTCGTATTTGGCCGATTGCCAAGGTCCCTTGCTTCACCCGCGTGCCATGCATTGGAGGTTATACACGGATCTGCTTCAGGAATACCTGAACGAGATTGCTTAGCAGACCCCGTCGTCCCTGAAAGCTTCGATGGCACACGTACTTACACAGGCGTATATGGTCTCCGGTAAAGCAATAGGACGTGCAACAACCCCGTGCAACATCCACCAGCTCACGCACACACGCAATGGTTACACGCACCACACGCGTGTCCTCGTGCATTGATCGGCCAGTGACGCGCATAGGAGGATCTACTCGCCAGGTATATAAAGGTATCCACCAAAAAGCCAGAGCATCATTCACCTCCAGTTCAACACACGAGCTGATCTCCAAAGATCTACGAAACCTATCAACCATGAAGTGCATCGTTGTAAGTACTCATTGCGTACACTCATTGCGTATCTAACATTCGATCTAACCTTTGTTCCAATCTTCCATGACGGACCTATGTCCGAATTAAAATCGTACCTAATTCTTTATCAAATTCTACACTCACAATTAATATTGTACAATTATCATTGTAACGTTACTATCAATCATAACACGTACAATTCATTTTCTATTTAAATGTCTACTTTGTGCAATAATTTGTCACTAAGAGAATAAATAGTTAAAATTCTGCAATTATTTCTTACTTACTATTTTCGTTCTATTTCATTACATCTCTCTTAATATTACCATATCAAGATTGCATTTGTGTAAATGAAAAGAAAAAAAAAAAAAGAAAGAAAGTGTAGTTGCTATTTACTGTAGGCGCTATTTATTGCTATTTATTTCCAGCTTGTTGCTCTGTTCGCCCTCTTCGCTGTAGCCTTCGCACAGGCACCCAAGCCTGTCCAACCCGAACAGGAACAATCCGTGGAAGGAGAGGCATCGAGAGACAAGAGAGGCCTGTTACTAGCTTCCTACACTGCACCAGCAGCATTAGCACCAGCGCCAATTGCGTACTCTTCTTACGTCGCCCCGGCAGCCCCAATTAGCTACGCTCTGCCATACGCCTACCGCGCATACCCCAGCTACACGTATCTGGGTTAATTTTAGGGGTATTAGGGATAACACCGAGGGACCTTTGTGATCACGACTAGGGAAATGATTATACGGCAATTGGAAGGATTTTCGAGCGAGTCGTTTAATCGACGCTACTTTAGTTTAAGTAAATTTAGAAACGATAGCAGCCGGACGAAATTTCTTTTTTAAATGTTAATTGCTCAAATTATACGTTCGCATCTATTATATCGAAGATCACCGATCTACTCAACTTCTGACAAATCTTAATACACCGTTCCGTTGTATCTCATCATGATGTTAAATACAGAAATTGATTAAGCTCATATTTGTCAATCGTATCATTTTCCTCGTCCAATCTCCATTTTTCCACGATATCGAAGAGAAGAAGAGAAAATCAAACGGAAAGAAATCTTATTACTTATCAATATTCGTAGGAAAGATAGTACTTGTTTTGTCATACGATCTATAAGGGATCTATGATGCAAATTTCACGTATCTTATTCATGATTAGATTATTAAACATGCGTCTAATGCATCCATCTTTAATACGAGCTCTTGCGTTGTTGTTGGTGCATCGTTGGAGCGCGTTAGACTTCCTGTTGCATGGCGAAGTAAGCGGCGATATACGACGATGACATCATCGGATGGCAGTTTGGCGTTGTAATCATTGATCATTTAGGCTTGCATGAAGTCATTGAAATAGAAGCTATTCCCGCTCATTGTTTCTGCTTTTATAAAACGTGTGCACGAATGAGCAACGTGATCACGATCCCCACACCAATATCGTGCAAAATCGAATGACAAAATTTAAAAAACTTGGAGGATCTTGACGCGTTGTCAATCTGGCCACGGTGACGCTGCTGCAATTATATAACAGAGATCCTTTTAACGAGTCAAAATGCGTAATCGACAGAGCGACATTTGAAAAACGACATCAGAGAATTCGAGCACGCGTGACTTACGTGTAAATGGGAATTACACAACAGGAATATATTACTATAAATGAACCCTCGTTCGGTATTCTCGTTCGGGGCTTGATGAGTTTAACTCACTTTCACTGAGGTTTTGAAGAGTTTGAAAGCTTTGGAGGATAAATACGTGATAGGAATGACATCCCAAACTTCGTATTATAGTATCGAAATACGAAACCAGTTAATAACCGGAGAAATAATTTTTCATAAACGGGGACAAAGGAAATTGTTCTTTGCTTCTTCGTCTTTCCGCGGAGGAAAAGTAATTTATGTTAAGAAAGTACGAAGGAAGGGAAAGGGTACGATTGTATTCGTATCCTTATCGAGCTAGGATCTCAAGCTAGGACGGAAGCTATGCGTCTTTCTCACTTTCGTAGAGACTTTCGCGTTAACGATCGATACGACTACTTATCTACCTCTTTTTCTCCTTTTTCTCGAATTGAAATTTATTTTTGGAAACCGATTAATATTATTCGAAGAGTCACGAGAGGACGATACTCTACATCGATATGTGTAACATCGATCCGTAACAGCATTGCCTAAGTGTGATCGATGAAAGCCAGCAAGAAAGTCTATTGTAATTCGTGGATGGTCGCGACCCGACTGTATTTATACATGTGCAGGTATGGCCGTGGTCTTAGTCGGTGCGAGCCTGTCCATCCTTGAGGAAATTAGTTTTTTTTTTTTTCCCCAACCAAGCTGCCCTGATTCCATGCTCGAGAAGCTTGTAGACCAGTTACTAGGTTAGCTCAGGGAACGTCCGATTAGTGCGGTGATACAGTGCGATTGGATTACGAACCATGAAGTTCCTCTTGGTAAGTGTACCACGATTAGAAAATTAAGCGATTCGATCTTTCTGACCGCTTCCTGTTGGCGCGTTAACGACTCGCTTCGACAATTTTGCGTCCTTCCTGCGAGTTGATAAGATCGAGTAGAAGGATAAAGCTGTTCGTCTTTTATTTTTTATTCTTTTCTTTAGCTCGCTTGTCTACTGGTTACGAGCTTATTATTATCCGTCACCGCGAAAACCGAGGTCGAGGATGCCGAGGAGAAGCCGGAGATTACGAAGTTGGAAGTAGTCGATCTCGGCGAGGGCGAGGGCGACGTGGATGACGCGGAAGAAGTTCAGAAAAAGAGGGATTCGGGATATTCGTACAGGAGGCCGGCCAACCACGCTTCGAGAGCTCGTTTCCAAATTGGGCAATCAAGCGGCCACGGAGGGCGCATAGTTAATAGACATCCCGGGCAAATAAGTAGACCGGTTACGAAATACGGTCCACCCGGTTATCAGAACTCGTCCCCAACGAGGCTGACTTCGTTGCACGGTCAACAGAATCGGGATAAATTGCAATTCCACGGACATTTCGGACATTCGAGCAACTTCGATGGCCGTCCAGGTGGGCTCCCGTTCGAGCAGGAAGTACCAAGTCCTATCAGACAGGTCGATTTCGTCGAACCGAATCCGATATCGACGCAAAACGACGAGCCGTTTGCCGGCAATTCGGCCAATTACTTGCCTCCCCACAATC